TGTCTCTGCGTCCGTCCACTGCTCCTCTGCGTGCCCCTTTGCCTTCTCCTCCCGAGTCCTCTCTTCCTACTCTTGCCGACCCGTAGTCGGACTCTCTTCGTGCTGCCAGTCCTACTGTCACGCGTCTCCTCGCTACTGTTGTCACTGACCCTTCCTTTGAGTCCACTACTGCGTCTGCCCTAGTTACTGAGCTCGTCGACTTTGCTGCTCGCTGTCGTCTAGACTACGCTGCTAGTCTTGTCGCTGAGTCTGAGTCTGTCTGTCCTCCGTCCGTCGGAGGTGAGTGTGCCCTGGGCACGGACGTCCTTGAGGACAGGCAGGAGGAGTTCCAGTGTCTGGCTGCTGCTTCACCTCATCTCGTGTCCGTACTGCTTACCCTTGAGGGAGACCCGGATGCACTTGACATCCCGACTCCGCGCTCTTACGCGGAGGCGATAGAGGGTCCCTACTCCTCTCAGTGGCAGGCAGCTATGGACGCATAGATGGCAACCTGGAAGTCCACAGGCACCTACGTTGACGAGGTTCCCCCGCCTGGGGCGAACATCGTCAGTGGCATGTGGATTTTCAGGGTGAAGCGGCCGCCGGGTTCTCCGTCTGTCTTCAAGGCGCGCTACGTGGCTCGTGGCTTCAGTCAGCGGCAGGGAGTTGACTACTTCCAGACCTTCTCTCCCACCCCGAAGATGACCACTCTTCGGGTACTGCTGCACATAGCTGCTCACCGTGACTACGAGCTGCACTCTCTTGACTTCAGCACGGCTTTCCTGCAGGGCAGCCTGCGCGAGGAGATCTGGCTGTGTCGCCCACCTGGCTACACTGGGTCTTTTCCTCCTGGCACCCAGTGGAGCCTCCGGCGGCCAGTCTACATTCTCCGCCAGGCACCGCGTGAGTGGCACGACACACTGAGGACTACACTTGCGGCTCTTGGGTTTGCTCCCTCTACTGCCGACCCGTGGCTGTTTCTGCGCACCGACACTTCTTTGCCACCGTTCTACATCCTCGTGTACGTCGACGACTTGGTCTTTGCCACAGCTGACACTGCTGGACTCGCCCACCTGAAGTCCGAGCTGCAGAAGAGACACGCGTGCACAGACCTGGGTGAACTGCGCTGCTACCTTGGCTTGCAGATCACCCGGGACAGAGCACGTCGCACCATTACCCTGACTCAGTCACACATGGTGCAGCAGGTCCTTCAGCGCTTCGGCTTCACGTGCTCCTCGCCTCAGGCCACTCCTCTGCCTACTCGCCACTCCCTCTCAACTCCGCCTTCGGATGAGTCCGTAGAGTTGAGTGGCCCGTACCCAGAGCTTGTTGGCTGCCTCATGTACCTGATGACCTGCACTCGACCTGACCTTGCATACCCTCTTAGCATTCTCGCACGCTATGTTGCTCCTGGGAGACACAGACCGGAGCACATGGCTGCAGCGAAGAGGGTGTTGCGCTACTTGTGCAGTACGTCGGGCATGGGGCTTGTGCTTTGAGGGCAGAGTACGGTGGTCCTCACTGGGCATGCAGACGCTTCTTGGGCTGACGACCAGGCTACGCAGCGGTCGTCACAGGGTTACACCTTCAGCCTTGGTTCTGGCTCTGTTTCGTGGCGGGCTACCCGCTCGTCTTCTGTTCTCAGCTCCAGTTGTGAGGTTGAGATCTACGCCGGGGCCATGGCTGCTTAGGAGCTTCGCTGGCTCACCTACCTGCTGACTGACCTCGGAGAGCCGCCTCGTTCTCCTCCAGTGCTGTACGTAGACAACAAGGCCATGCTGGCCTTGTGTCGAGAATAGAGACTGGAGCACAGAACGAAGCACATTGCTCTTTGCTACTTCTTTGCTCGTGAGCTGCAGTAGCGTGGTCAGCTGTGTCTTGCGTACGTGGCCTCTGAGGCCAACACTGCTGATATCTTCACCAAGGCACTTGCGACTTTTGATCATCAGCGCTTCTGTACTCAGCTTGGTCTTGTGCCTGCCTTGCCTCACTTGCTCACCTCTTGACCTTGCTTGTACTGTTACATATATATATACCCTGCTCTTGCTTGTCTAGCCTTTTATATATATATATGTACTCCTGCATGTGAACTGCCCTTTTGGCCTTGACCTTGTGCTCGGAATGTTTGGTGACTTTGTGATCCACCCTGAGCTTGCTTTGCTTTGCTTTGCTTGACTGGTCTTGTGACCCCTTGTACTACCCCACTTTGCCTATGGGGGTGTGTCAGAACATTATAGCTTATGCTTTTGTGTAGGCTGTAGTGGGGTAGCCCATATAGAGTACAACCCAATTAGGGTTAGTACTTGTACCCAACTCTTTCATAGTGCATTCATTTCTCGTTTCAGTTTTCTCAGGCAGCAGGAAGGTGTCTGCTTTGAATACCATGTTGCAATAGTAGGAGTAGGGCCTAAGCTTAGTAGCCTAGGCCAAGGATAGTCGAGAGAGTTGTTGCAAGAAGGAGTGAGTTCACTATGGATCGAACAATACAATTAGGAAAGGAACAAGAATTGTGCACCACCAATAGTTTATGATTGCTACTCTAAACTACAGCTACAGGCAGCTACACAAAGATATTCTGACAAGATTCAGCTACACAACCCCTCAGCTAAGGTAGAAGCAACAGACAAAGGTGCATGTGGCGGCAGGTCGCCTGGAGTGCGGGTGCGTGCGGCAGCACAGCAGGGCTCAACGGCAGCACCTGCCGCTCAACAGCAGAAGACAGCATAAGAATCAGCAGGTGGAGGCAGGGGCGGCTGCAGAGGGTGCCACGGTAGCAGCAGGCAGCCGCTGCAGATACCTAGCTGGCTTCCGCTACCATCTCACCCTCCCCCCCACAATAGCACGCGCGGTAGTGAGAGAGAGAGGAGGAGGGGCGGCTAAAGGCTCGGCAAAATCTCTCTCTCCACTCCCTCATACTCTCCCCCTTTTCCCTCACCCCCCCCCCAGCAACCTCTTCCCCCCCTTACGGCGGACCCCGCTGAAGGGAGCGGAAGGACGGGCTGCAGGCAACTCACACCCGCCACCCCCACATCTCCTCCCCCCCCCCCCACGGCAGAAGCTGAGGAAGGGAAGGGGGGGACGGCGTTAGCTGCTGCTGGCGCTGGCGTCGTCGCTGGCACTCGCGCAGGTGCTGGCGACGGGCGCTGGTGCTGGCGCACACGACCGTGTGCGAGTGCGCACGATCATACGCGGCTACATGCAGCAATGCGCGGCCGTACGCAGCTGCGCGCGGCTGCTGCTGTGTTCGTGACAGAACGGGGTGGGGCAGGTGATGCGCGCGATGAGCAGAGCGCAACGGGCGCCACGGACGGACGAGCAGGGTGCAGGGCGCTGACGGGGGGCCGAAACGAGGCCGCATCTGACGCCGTCGCGCAGCTCACTGCTGAGACCGTTTTGACGGTCGCAACCGTTGCAACCGTCGTAACTACGGCCGCGACGGGGGGCGTGACGAGCGCCATGAGCGGGGGGATACGTGGTGGGCCCATGGGGGAAAAAAAAAATAGGTCTTAGGATGACCTAGCTCTTAATACCATGTTAAGAATCATTAGGCTTAGGAGCCTAGGGTGAAAGCAAGATAACGAGAGAGAAGCCAAAGGAGGGGTTTCACTATTGAGCAAAAGGTACAAATAGAGAACAAACATGCAAAGAAGGTGCACCACCAACATTTCATAATAACTACACTAAACTACACCTACAGGCAGTTACAGATATATTCTAACACCCACCAACCAACTTGTTTTTGCACAAGTGTTGTCGTTCCTATAGTGCGTTCTGTGCCGGTGTCTTGAGGGCTGACACAAGGCTGTGAAGGGTTTGGATTCGATTGATGATGATAAAGAACGATCGGAGGTGTAGATCGCCTTGTGTCAGATAACTTGACACCGGCCAAGAACGTACCCTTCTCAAATCCAGCCAATGGCCAGATTCAACATTCCACACTGCTGCCAATGTCAAATATTGTAGCCTTTAGTGAGGTTTGTCTTTGGGGGTACACATCTTAGGGTTTGTTATATGTACCCCAACCCACATCAATGAACACACACTTCTATTCTTGACATGGTATCACCTAGGTTAGGATCCTGTGGGATCCCGCTCCTCCCGTCCTCGTTTGTCTCGCCCGAGCCTGTCTCAATCTGTTGTACTAGTTGCGCCCGTCTTGCCCGAGCCTAGCACCAGCCTGATCTAGTCCCGTTCGCTCGTTACCGCCCACCCGATCTAGTCCCGTTCGTTCATTACCGCTCGTTCCGCCGACCCACTTTCCCCGTAGCGTAGCGCCCTTCCCCCCCCCCCCCCCCCCCACTGCCCGTGACGTCGCGCTTCCCCCCTACTGCCCGTCGAGTCGCGCTTCCCCCCTGCTACCCGTCACCTCGCGCCTCCCCCCCGCTGCCTGTCGCGTCGCGCCTTCCCTTGCCCCCCGTCGCGTTGCGCTCTCCCCCTCTTCCCGTCCCGTCGTCCCCTCCCCCGCTGCTCGTCGCGACGCGCCCTCCCCTCGCTGCCCTACACGCTCGTTCACGCGCCGCGCCTGCCCGTTCGGCCCGCCGCAAGCCTGCTAGTCCCGCTGCCGCGCCTACCCCTCCTGCCGCCCGCCACCGCGCCTACGCATCAGGCCCGCCGTGGGCCCGCTCGTCCTACCGCCGCACCTACCCCTCCTGCCCGCTGTCGCGCCTCCTAGTTAGGTCCACCATAGGCTCGCTCATCCCGCCGCTGCGCCTGCCCATACTACCCGCCGCGAACCCTCCCTTCTAGCCACCACGGGCCCTTCCTTTCAGCCGCCGCGCCTACCAATTCCGTCAGCCGCCGCGCCTCCTCGTTAGGCCCGCTGCGGGCCCGCTAGTTAGGCCCTCTCTTCACACTACTGCGCGTAATCATTCAGTCCACCGCGGGACCACCCCTTACGCCTGTCGCGCTTGCGTTTTGCACCTGCCACGGACTTGCCCTAGCCGCCCTACCAGTGCCGCCCACAGTCGGACTTGTCGTTTCCGCTTACGCTATGACGACCCCTAGGGTTCTTCGCTTTGACGATGACGGTACACCGCTCGCGTTTCCGGTCTAGCTCCTACGCGCGCGTCGCCTTTAGAGAGTCAGGTCCACGCGGGCGAGTCCCTCTGGGCGCACGCTACTGGTGACCTTCCCGCGCCCGACGACCCTACGCCTTTAGGCCCTGCCCCTAGCGACGCCGCCAGAGACCGCTTTACCTGCCAGCGTGCTGACCTGACGGCGTGGAAGTCGCGTGACGCTGCGGCCTGCATCGCTCTTAGCAGCCTCCTCCCTGAGTCTGAGGAGGCCCACTTCACTCAGGTTCGCACTGCTATTGAGTTCCTGACTGCAATCAAGGCCCGCTACGCTACTCCCACCACTGTCTCTCTCGGCCGCCTCTTCCTACCGTTCTTGTTCCCTGACCTCGCCTCGTTTGAGTGCTCTGCTGACTTGATTGCTCACCTCCGCTCACTCGATTCTAGCTACCCCGCTGCTTGCACTGACGCACAGCTTGCACTGCTTCCCCCTCCCATGGTGATTACTATCTACTTCATTGCCACTAGCCTCCCTGACCGCCTTGCCTCGGTTCATGACACGCTTCTTCTGAAGCACCCTAGTGAGCTCACTATCGAGGTCCTTGAGTCTGCGCTCAAGGACATCGAGAGCAATCTCTGCTCCGTAGCCTCCGCCTCTGGTGCTGTGCCCCCTCCACTATTTCACGGGTGCACTGTCCCTCAGCTGCCCACTTTTACTGCCTCACTAGCCACTGCCACTACTGACGTGACCAAAGCTGCTGTTACAACTTCGTCACGGTCTCGAGGTAGGGGTGGCAGGAGGGGCGGTCAGGGTGCAGGAGGCGGTGGGGGTGACGTGCCGACCGGTGGCGGCGTTAGCGGTGGAGGTGGTGGGGGTGACGCGCCAACCGGTGGCGGCGGGAGCGCAGGGCCTGGAGAGGCGTCTCGTGCAGCGGCCAGTGACTCCCCTACTGCAGTTGGTGGAGGCGACACCTGCACTCGTCAGCCTCCTCCTGGTCTGCCGGCCGCGGTGGGTGGAGCAGCAGCCCTAGCCCAGCGACAGCAGCAGCAGTAGCCCCTCCCCTTGCAGCACCCTCCGCAGCAGCAGCGGCAGCAGCAGGTTTCGGGGCCAGGACAGCGTCAGCCCCAACGAGGTGTTGTTCACCCTTCGTGCACCTATCAGGTTCTGACAGGTGCTCGCCGAGGCCGGCCTTGTGGCCACACCCACCCTCTTGGTCAGTGCTTTGCTCAGCTTACTGACACGGTTCGCTTGGCCTTCCGCGTTGGCGGCCCTGCCCCTGACTGGTTTCCTCTTGTTCAGACGTACGGCTCCGCTCTTTGGGGCATGTCTGCTTCTCAGTTGCTTGATCTCTTAGGAACTCCTCATGCTATGTATGCTGTTGTTGACTCTTGTGCTTCTGACTCTGTTAACCCGAGTGTTGTTAGCTTAGGTGCTAGTCTTGCTGAGTTGCCTGTTGCTAGTGTGTAGGCGCTTGTGTAGACACTGGTCTAGGCACTACTTCAGAGGACGCTTCGTTGTCTTTCACTTTGGACTCTGGGGCTTCGCACTGCTTCTTCCGCGACCACACCACACTTACTCCACTTCCTGCGCTAGTCTCTGTGGCGCTGGCTAATCCCACCTGGAGACCAGTCACTGCTCGCTACACCACTACTCTTCCGTGCCCTGCTGTTCCCTCTGGGTCTCTGACTGGCTTCCATGTCCCCTCGTTCTCGAGGAAATTGGTGGGCGTGAGGCCTCTTGTGAGTCACCACGTAGGTGTGTGCATTGAGCCCTCTAGTGAGACGGCGGTTTGTGTTGACGGCGACACTTACTCGCCCCTTGCCACCTTTACTGCCGAGCGGGGCTCTGGTCTCTACACACTTCACACTGGCCCTGGCGAGCAGCAGCAGCAGCAGCAGCGGCGGCGGCGACTCCTGCCCTTGGCCCCGGTTGCTTCCCCCCATCTGGTCCCTGCGTCTCACGAGGTTGCTGCGTCCCCCCAGGTCGCTGTGTCTGGTCAGGTTCCCATGTCTGGTCCAGTTGTTGCGTCGTGCTCTTGCCGGTCGCTTGCACACCCCACCGTTCTGTGGCACCACCGGATGGGGCACCCGTCCCTCCCTCGTCTGAACGCTATGTCTCGTCAGAGTCTTGTCTTAGGCCTCCTGCATGTCTTGCCGTCGCTGCCGCCTTCGCTTGCACCGCCGTGCGGTCCCTGCATTGAGGGTCGGCTGCGCGCCAACCCTCACTCCTCCTCCCTTCGTCCAGCCACCAAGCCTTTTGAGACGCTCCACTTGGACGTCTGGGGCCCCGCCCCTCGCTTTGGCCCTGAGCGCGAGCGTTTCTTTCTGGTGGTCGTTGACGACTACTCCCGCTACACCATAGTGTTCCCCTTGGCGAAGAAGTCTGAGGTGACTTCTACGTTGATCAGGTGGTTGCTTACCAAAGAGGACACTCGTAGTCGTCGTGTCAGCTGTCTTCACTCTGACTGTGGGGGTGAGTTTCGCTCCGGCATTCTCGCTGGATTCTGTCACGAGCAGGGCATTCGTCAGTCCTGGACGCTTCCAGAGTCCCCACAGCAGAATGGGGTTGCTGAGCGCCGCATAGGCTTGGTCATGGAGATCGCCCGCACCTCCTTGACTCACGCGCGTGCCCCCCATTTTTTGTGGCCCTACGCGGTTAGGTACGCCGCTCACCAGCTGAACCTCTGGCCACGCGTCTCTCGGCCAGAGGCTTCACCGACCAGTCTTTGGACCGGGTCCCCTGGTGTTGCATCTAGGTTTCGTGTCTGGGGTTGCTTGGCTCTTGTCCGCGACACTTCCGCGGACAAGCTCTCGCCTCGCGCCGTTCCCTGTGTCTTCCTTGGTTTCCTTGAGGACTCCTCTGACTTCACCTTTTACCACCCTCCCTCTCACCTGTTCTTTGACTCACGTGACGTCCGTTTCGAGGAGTCCACCCCCTACTACGTCAGGTACCCGTGTCGAGGTCTCCCGGTTCCTCCTCCTTCTCTCTTGCTGTCTTCCGCTTCCCCTCTTGCTCCCCCGGTACAGCCTCCCCCCCCTGGTCCAGCCCCGTCCGGTGTGTCTCAGGCTACCCCTCCCCCCTTGGTAGCCCCTCAGGTGCAGCCTCCTTCCCCGAAGTCCTCCTCGTAGCCTGCTGCAGACCCTGCGGGAGTGGGTGCTCGTGGAGAGGGCCCTGCGGGTGCTAGCTCTAGAGGAGTGGGAGTTAGTGCTGAGAGCGTCCCTGTGCCGGTTTCTGCGTCTGGGGGTGCTGGAGTTGGAGCTGAGCCCGTGGTTGGAGGAGACTCTTGTCTTCCGAGAGCTGGTGTTGGTTGTGCTGACTCTGGGGGTGGTGCGCCAGGTGCTTTGGAGGGCGGTCTCGGGGCTGCCACAGCCCCAGACACTACTCCTCCCCCCCACCCCTACCCGACCCGGCATCATGCTCGTGTTTGCCATTCCCGTGAGGAGCAGCTGAAGTTGGAGATAGAGCAGAGAGAGTTGCAGTGGCTGGAGGAGCGGCAGCAGCAGGAGCAGCAGCAGCACCCGCAGCTAGAGCCGCCGCAGCAGCAGGAGGCGCAGCAGCTGGAGCCGCCGCACCAGCAGGAGGCGCAGCAGCTGGGGCCGCTGCAGCAGGAGGAGTAGCAGCCGCCGCCGCAGCAGCAGCAGCAGTCGCCGCCTCCTCCTCCTGTCTCTGGTCTTCAGGCCCTCGGTCTCCCCTCTCGCTCTCCTTCTTCCTCCCCCTCTCGTCCCATCTCGGGTCCTCCGCTTCCTCCTCCCGACCCCTCCCCGGCTGTTTTCCCTCATTCTCAGCCTCTGGTGTCTCCTCCTCCTTCTCAGACTTGGGCCTCTTGTCGCTCCCCTCGTGCTCGTCCCTCGTCTCCTGTTCTCGTTAATGACCTTCGTACTGCCCTCTTTCGTTCTAGTCCGCCTCGTTCGTCTTCGTCTCTCCTTCCGTCTCCTCCTGAGTCGGCCTTCACTGCTTCTCTCTCTACACCTGTCACTGACTACTACCGCACGTACCGTCTTATTCTCTCTCGTGTTCTCACCTCTCTTGATTCTGACCCTCGTGCCTCTCTCTCCTCTGTCTTCGCCCTTACTGCCGCAGTCACTGAGTTTACCTCTACTCGCCGCCTTGACTACGCCATCAATCTTGTGGCTGCTCCTCCTACCAGTCCTCTGGCCGTCGGGGGTGAGTCTGCCCTTGGCTGTGACGCCCTAGAGGACAGGCAGTTTGAACTAGAGTTCCTGGCAACCGCTTCCCCACATCTCTGTGCCATGCTGCTCGCCCCTGAGGGAGACCCCAACGCCCTTAACATACCGACTCCTCGCACTTACACTGAGGCAGTGTCAGAGCCTTGGGCCTCTCAGTGGAGAGCTGCCATGGACGCAGAGATGGCCTCCTACAGATCCACAGGCACCTACGTCAATGAGGTTCCCCCCCCTGGGGCGAACGTAGTCGATGGCATGTGGATCTACAGGGTGAAGAGGCCATCGGGATCTCCTCCGGTCTTCAAGGCGCGCTACGTGGCTAGAGGTTTCAGTCAGCGCAAGGGAGTTGACTTTTTTCAGACTTTCGCGCCTACCTCGAAGATGACAACTCTTCGGGTGTTACCGCACGTAGTTTCACAGAGAGACTACGAGTTACACTCTCTCGACTTCTCCACTGCTTTCCTTCAGGGTAGCCTACACGAGGAGGTCTAGCTGCGTCGTCCCTCTGCCTTCACTGACACTTTCCCTCTTGGGACCCAGTTGAGGTTGAGGCAACCTGTCTACGGTCTTCAGCAGGCTCCTCATGAGTGGCACGACACTCGTCGTTCTACCCTCTCTGACCTTGTGTTCCAGCCGTCTTCTGCCGGCCCGTCGCTGTTCGTTCGTCGTGGCTCCACACCGTTCTTTGTTCTGGTCTACGTCGACGACCTGGTTTTCGCCACTGCTGACAGGGTTGCCTTGGCAGACCTGAACTCCGAACTACAGAAGAGACACACGTGCACTGACCTTGGTGAGCTGCGCCATTACCTTGGCCTGCAGATCACCAGGGACACAGCTGCTCGCACCATTACACTCTCACAGTCACATATGGTGCAGCAGGTCCTTCAGCGGTTCGAGCTTCTGCACTCCACAGTACATCGCACACCTCTTGCTGTTGACCACAAACTTATTGGACCCTTTCCTGGCGAGCCATTTGAGTCTAGTGGTCCCTACGCAGAGCTGGTGGGGTGCCTCATGTACCTGATGACTTGCACTCGCCCGGACCTCGCCTTCCCTCTCAGCACCCTTGCTCGCTTTGTTGCGCCAGAGAGACACCATTCTGTTCACTGGACGGCATCTGTGAGGGTGGCGAAGTACCTAGCGACGACAACAGGCGTGGGGCTAGTTCTTGGAGGGCAGCAACCTGTCGTACTTACTGATCACTGTGACTCTTCTTACGCTGACGACGCTGAGACTCACAAGTCTACTCAGGGGTACTGTTTCAGCTTGGGTTCTGGAGCTGTTTCGTGGCGGTCCACGCGCTCCTCTTCGGTCTCGGCCTCTACAGGTGAGGCTGAGATCTACGCTGGTGCCATGGCGGCACAGGAGCTGCGTTGGTTGACCTTCTTGCTCGCTGACCTTGGTGAGCGACCGAGCTCTGCACCGAACTTGTTCACTGACAACAAGGCGTCGATTCTCCTTTGTCGAGAGCCGCGACTGGAGAGCAGAGTGAAGCACATTAACGTCAGGTACTTTCTTCTGCGAGAGTTGCAGAGACGTGGACAGGCTTGCTTCGAGTTTGTGGAGTCCGAGGCCAACACTGCAGACATCTTCACCAAGGCGCTTCCGCCTTGTGACCACCAGAGGTGTTGTGTGCAGTTAGGCCTTGTTGACACGGGTTCTAGTCGTGTATAGGCTTGAGTTTACTGTTTGTTTGCTTGTACTCTTGCTATACACACTTGTGAACTCTCGGACTAGCCTTATGGCCCCTGTTGCTTGTGCTTGTGTGGTGACGTGATCCACCCTGAGCTTTGTTCCTTTCTGACTGGTCTTGTGACCGTACACTTTTGGTTTTGCCTAACACCCCTCACTTAGGCTATGGGGGTGTGTCAAATGTTGTAGCCTTTAGTGAGGTTTGTCTTAGAGTGTACAGATGTTAAGGTTTGTTATATGTACCCCAACCCCACATCAATGAACACACACTTGTATTCTTGACAGCCAGCTCCAATCCAAACACATTTTTTATTACTCAATCACCGAATCAACCAAACCAGTGTAGAAAGGCAGTATGGTCCACTTGATGACCAGCTGTCAGTTAAAAAGCTATCCTTTTCCCCTCACCATGCTTTACCCATTATTCAGCAGGGTTGGTAGGCACACACGTCCATCCTGAGGATCTGTGGTGGATTCTGGTTACTTTTAGCCAAGAATACGGTCATAGGGACGCCCAGCAGCTGCTGACTAAAAAGCAGACTCATTACACACCGTCCATGCTGAGGATTCGTGGTGGATAATGGCTCTTAGTAGCCGAGAATCTTAGTAGGCAGGTTCAGAAGTTGCGGCAGGGCAGACGGGTGGAATTTTCTTGCAAACAAGAAGCAGGTGCGGTTCTCTCCATCCTTGGCGCAAGGGAGAGTGTATGACTGCAAGAGAGGATGGGGAGGACGCGCAGGATGAGAGAAGTGAGACGTGGTAAGCTTTACATGTTGCAGCCTTTAGGTTGTGATGTGAACGATGTGCAAACGACAAGGTGACAGCAGAGAAACAGAACGTGACACAGAAGAGGAATGGTTGAGCGGAGGACCAAGGGGGCGTGTGGGAATCTTTGAGACGGCTCAGAAATGAGTGTGTAGGTGAGAAGAGAACAGACGAAGGGCGTGTGGGAAAAGGGGGGGCTACTCACGCTTTGCGGGGTTTCATCATCAGGTTCCTGAGTAGGCAGAGGAGATCAGATCCAAGGGGGGGGGAGAGGTGGTAATGAGGACACAGAAAGAATTACACACGGCGCTTCTGACACAGCGATTGCACTGGTGTGCTGTGGTGGTGGGTGGGTGTGGTCATGCGAACAAAACAAAAAGTATAACTACAAGACAGAACACAACATGCCATGGTGCATCAGGTGCTGATTGATTTGTAGGGTGGAAACGTGTACATTGCGGGGGGGTCATGAAATAGGTTATTTGAGGAACTCACCACAACGTTGCGATGCATGTACATGCGCGGCTTCTGAAAGAGGGATGATGTACATGCCAAGAAGAGTAAGATGCAGGAAAAAAGAGCGACGAGGGAACGCTATGTAAAGGAAAAACAGTAAATGTGATGCAGGAACAGTGTACATGTTTAGACATTAAGTATATATGTGTACACATGAACACTGTTGTAGGAAAGCTAGAGGTGTGTATACATACAGTGATGTAGCGAATGAGGCTGGGTCGAGTGAGGAAGGGATCGAAGGTGCGCGGGTGCGGGGAGTTGAGTGGGAAGTCAACATAGGTGATGGTGCGATTGGCCAGATTGCCAGGGTCCTTCAACTGTGTAAGGGTGCGAAACAGGGAAGCAGGAGACAGCGGATGAGGAAAAAGGATATGTTTAGTGGTGATAAGAAAATTGACATCGATCATGGTGTGATTGGTCAAGGTCCTTCTGACTGTAAAAAGGGGAGGAAAGGCGAAAGAACAGAGAGCGGAGGAAGAGCGGATGTGACAGAACATGAGGGATGCTGGCCTATGTGGTGGAAAGATTGGTCAGAATACGCAAGTGTCGAGAACGGGGAAGTCAGAACATGAAGGAAAGAGTGAATGTACGGACTCTATCAGGGAGGTTGAGATTGGTGAACATACGAACGCAGCTGGTTGAAGGGCAATTTTTAGAATTCCTGAAAATACCTGACAGAATCTATTGGGGAGGTTGACATAGGTCTGGTTGATAACTGGGTGGGTGTAAAACCGGTCTCGGATGAAGCCAGCTTCTTAAAGGGGACTGGCTCGATTAGAAATTGTGTCACAATTCTCACATTGATTAGAGTTGGGATGTAGTGCTCGTCTGAGTAGCACTCGTGATGTTGGATGTCACCCTGTAACGAGTATAGTGAATAGTACACAACGACCACAACATGGGAAACAACTATGAGAACCGCAAGTGGAGAATCATCAGCAGATTCAGAAAGAGGAATATGAAATGTTGAAATGAAAGAAACAGGACCAACCAGATAGTCTCGAAACAGGGAAAGCCATAGTCAACCATGATACCCACCCTGCAGTAGATTTGGAAGAGCTTATGCACATCAACGTCATCGATTATGATGTTCGCGTGTTTGCGTGTGACCGAGAACCACTGCATAACGAGGAGAAACGAGGGAGAGTTAATTAGCAAACTGTTTAAGCAAATTGGCATAAGACGTTGCTATCATGGAACCAACAACTAAATCAAACAAAGCATGTCAATCAATCCAAGGTTCACCTGCGACGCTTTTCTCCACTTTTCAATTGGAATCAATGGAGCCATGCGTTCATCATGTCGTCCCGTATTCACGTATCTGTCTGTAGTGAAGCTGTTACAAAGGGAAAAGAACAAGAATCAATGAATGTGCAAAATAAAAGAAACAGCGTTGGGTTATGACTCCATACCAAATTGCTTTGAGTGAAAACATGTGGACCAGCTTACCTTGAAACGAAGCTGTAGTCAGTTCCGAGAAGATATCTCCACGTAAATTTCAGGCTCTTAACGGGAATGCAACTGCAAGGCCGGAGAGGCATGTGGAGAGAGGACCAGTGTCAGCGAAAGTTGGATCCCCATATAACGAATGGGTGCTCTCAACAAAGGGATGTAAGAGATACTTCCGATAAGGGTGCTACATATGTTAAGTAAGATAGTAGGACGAAAACGCGAAGCAAAGCGAGCAATCACTGGCACTTACGATTCGGAGAGTAGCACGAAATTGTGATTGGCTGGGTCCTTGAGCGCCGCAGCAATCAGCCGTCGTTCGGCGTCGATCATCGTCGGCGAACCCCACGACACCTGCAAGGGAGAGGATGTAAGGATATTGGGAGACGAGGTTGATACATTTCAATTTGACAACCGAGTAGTGTAAACACGAGTTTGGCCATACTAAGAAATCCCAGGGTTCGCCGCACGGTGGAGTGGGTTACAAGAGGGTGTAATTGGACACTCACCGCTTCGCTGCGGATGGTGTTGTTGCGGAAGAGCGCGGAGGCGTTCTTGGGGAATTCGTAGCCCGGCGCCGGGTGCACGTAGATGGAGTAGCTTCCCTCGTGACCCTTCGATATTGACACGTAGCGAAAGAATGGCACAAACGCAGGGAAGATTTGCGGTAGATGGCAGGGAGAGAGAAAGAGAGTTAAAATATTTGAACGGGGGAGCAGTGAGGGTGAGGAGGGAGGAAGAAGGGGGTGGCGAGGAGATGGGGGAGGGCGGGTGATGGCGTGGGGGAGGATTGAGAGGGGGAAAAGGGGAGGGGGGAGGGAGCAGTGATGTGGCTGGTAATGACCTACTAATACAGGCAGGGAACTGCAACCAATGCGCACAGCAAGTTACGGAATGCTTTCGGCGGAAAGATATTCGGCGCGCGGGGTGAGCCCGTATAGGAAAGTAACACAAACGCCACTTGCGGAGCCACAAAACTACGAGGGAGCTAGAACTCTACCTTGAGGAATACCTGGCATCTTGATCCTCACCTTGAAGTACCGCTCCCACAGCTTGGCGTGCGGGATGGGGCCCTTGGTGAGGAACATGAACGCCACTTTGCGGTACTTGTGCTTCACGCGGCTCGCCGCCTTCTCGCGCTCCACGCGCGTTTCTCGAAGCTCGCGAAGCATCGCCTCGTCTTCCGGCGAAAGCTTCAGCTCGCGAAACACGTCCTCCTCCTCGCTAGATTTGTCGGCTGCGGCAGTCGCATCGGATCCCTTATCACTTTCCGCATTCAACATTTCCGCCTCCTCCTCCGTTTCGGCTTCGTCGTCCTCTTCGCCAACCTCGTCGACTGTGTTACCACCAGTGACCTTTACGGCCTTCCGCGAGGTGGCAGATTTCGACTTTCGCGAACGCGCAAGCTTGCGCTCTTTCTCCAGCACCTCCGCCGGCAAGCCCCGCTGCTCGTCGTCCACCTCCTCCGCTTCCTCCTCCGCATCCGCGTCCCCCTCCGCGTCTGCCTCTGCGCTCGCCTCCGCATTACCTCCGTCGCTCTTCCCGCCTGCCCCCGTTTCCTTCTCAGTCTTTGCCTTTAACCCCTGCCCACTTGCACCGTACGTAGCCTCTGCAGGGGTCTCCTCAGTGCCCAATCTCAATCTGACGGCGAGAGCCGCTTTGTTCATCTGCGGGAGGAAGCTTCCCGTGGCAGTTTCGCTACTCGCGGCCGCGCTCCCGGCCAATTTGCTTCTCCCGTCAATCTTGCTGCTCTGGGAACTCCTTCCATCGCTTAGATCGCTTTTCTTGCTTCTGCTGCCGACAGCTGGCCCCGCAGACATTGAATTTGGATTCGCACCACGCAGTTGAAGAATGCTAATCGGTTGCACGGCGACGCGTAGACCTTCGGAATCATCCATGCCGTCGGATTCGATGTTGACGCGAGACGCGGGTTTTCCGCCGACGATTGACGTCAGCAGGTCCGCGTCGCCGATCGCCAGCTCTGCAGGATTACTGGTGGGCGACGCTGCGAGGTAGGCGAGGAAGATGAGGACGACGATGGCGACAGGGCTGGCGAAAATTGTCATTCGCGTGGCGAGACCCTGCGACTTGACTGCATGAAGAAACGCTGCCATAGTCGGAGACTGAACGGTAAAGTTTGCGATCAGCCGTGGCGGGCGCACAGTCGCTATTGACGCTAATAACGGATTGACGCGACCGACGAAGCGATCAGAGCGACTTGCGACTTGTTCCGCGAACGATATGGTAACCAGCCTATAGGGAGCGACAGTGAAGTTCTGACCCCCACATGCTGGGAGTCGTACAATGGTCAGATCTAGCTCCTATCAAGACGATACCGTGTGACCTACGGGGGCTGGTTACGACTGACCAAAGTTGTAGCTGTAAGCTGCAGACGATTAAAGCTCTTTCGGAGTTTTTCCTTTTTGGGGAAAATAGTGTCGCAAGCAGCTCGCTCGATTGATCGCTTGGGTCGGAACGGAAACTCAGGGGATGAAATCGCTTGGTTTCTGCACAGGTAGTTCCTGCATGGCAATCTTCGAATTGAATGTAAGATCAGAGGAGGATGTTTGGGATGATGGCTTTGCTGTCATTGAACTTGGCTGTGATGTTCATGGACTTAGGGATCATCAGGGGGGACGAAATGGGGGAGTGGCGCGGATTGCTGCTGCGCATGACATGACAGCAGGCGACGCTGGGACACGAATGTGCGAAGGAGTTTTTCCTGGCCACGATGCCTCGTACGGCTGCGAAACTGGGGAACGAGGCTCGGCGAAGCAGCTCTGTAGCGGAGCGGAAGGGCGTGGATTGGGTGAAAGCGTTGGCGTAATGTGTTGTTACGACTTCGAATTGGTCAACCATGGTATGATCCCAACCAAGAGAACCCACGTCGCATCGCGTGAATGGACGAAATCGTCTCATTTCAGTGCGTAAACTGCACGTTGGCACGGATCGCGAATAAGAAGGTGCGACACGGCATCACGACGGACCCAGCCGCGCAGCTGTTGAAACTTCCATGGACCTGGGCGGATCGCTACCCTGGGCTGTTTTCGTACTCGTCGAGCGATTTTCCAGGGTTGCCTTTGATCATGGAATACTGTAGGCTTGCCTTGCGGCCGTCCCACGATCTGGCGATAAGCAGCGTCACTTGGCTTGTACGCCAGGATGGTACCCTTCGATTTCCACACTCGAGGAACTGTAACCCGCTGAATTCTCCTTATTAGGTAACTTCTTTGCCCTATAAACTCCAAACACGGTTTCTTCATTCCGCCACGGTAGCACACTTTGTTCCACGTACCTGACGTGGGAAGTGCGGAAGCATGCCATGCTTATAGTTTCGGCACATGTACTGTGAGAAGTTACCAATATTATCAAGGGTTGACACAAACAGACCTTTGAGTTAGCGCGAATTGTGCTGATTGGTGGCTGGCATTCCAACTGCGCCTCGTCACTGTTGATGCTCACCACAAAGCCATGACCGATGAGCTGGAAGGCTGATTTACAGTGCCTGCATCCAGACAGAGGGCTGTAGGGCGGCTGATGAAAAAACCTCACTCTAATATGCAACCTTGCATTGTGAAAAGAAATTTCCTTTTCCTTACTTCGCATCCCTGCTCAACGCGTACATCACTGTAGCACCACAGTCAGCACCGTTACCACTCGCAACCCTCGCATCGACAATCAGCCCGCCAGCTTCGCACATCGCACCCCGACCTCACGGCTCGGCGGGTAACCCGCGCTCCGGGCCTCCGCTTCGACACTTTTCCCAACCTCAATCCCAGGCCCGCCGCGCGACAACCACAGTCCATTACCGTTATCACGGCAGTTTCGCTATATATTCTTCGCTCATTGTACTCCTGCTTCGATAGTGCAATTCTCGTTCGTTCACTCAATTGCACCCATAACACTTGGTATTCATAGCCTACGATCTCCTCTCGGACCGCACCCACACCTTCGCTTCCCCACTATCTCATTTTTTTGGGGGGGGTAGACGTCTCTCAGCGACACAGCACCGCCGCTTGTAGTGCTCTCTCGTAAGCACGCACGGCCACGACCGAGGCTCTCGCTGAGCTCACCCGACACCCCTGCCATGGCCGAATTCACGCTCGCCACATTGACGCAGGAGCAGCTCAACCGTCTGGTGCGCCAACTTGAAGATTCGGCGCTCGAAATTGCGACGCTCACGGCGGAACGTCACTCCGCGCGTCAGCAATCAACGATGCACACTCTCGCGCCACCACACGCACCGACAAATGCATCTGCAGAATCAGACGAGCCGATCGTCATCTCGTCCGGCACACCAACACAAAACAACAGCGTGGGACAGCGCTCAGGCGCAGCCAGCGATGGTGCCGCCCAGCCGATGCCCGGCATGAGGGTCGCACCAAGCCTGCGGGAGCCTCGCGAAGCCCGTCGACACGTGGAGTTCGCGGCGACAAGTGGCGAACAGACCATTATGGCACCAATGCCACTCAAGCCGCAACGCCCGCCCTGCTTCGACCCGAGCCAGCGTGGAGGTCCGACGGTTCAATCGTGGGTCTTCACGATGAACGTCTTCTTCGACGCGAATTACGTCGAGTCCGACGCAGCGAAGATTCGGTATGCCGTTTCGCTGCTAAGGGGCCCCGCCATGGACTGGTGGCGACTCATCGTGACGTCGCCACGCGCCTACGAGCCACCGTCGCAAGAGGAAGGGCCCACGGGCCCAGCTGTCACCTGGAGTTCATTCTGCGAGACCGCCCAATACAGCACGTGGGATGCGTGGTGCGCAGGGCTTTGAGCGCGCTTCGAGCCGATCGTGGCTTCTATTTCGGCGCGTCAGAGATTGCGCACTTGGCGGCAGCTTGGATCGGTTCAAGACTATATGAGTGGTTTTCTCGCATTATGCGAGCAAGTCGGCTACATTCACGAAGGGAGCGGGTGGACCGTTACGTCGGAGGGCTGAAGCCAGACATCTCGCACGAAATCATGCTACGCGGGCTCTCGAACTTCAACGAGATTCTCGCGCTCGCCGAGCAAATCGACATTCTACGCCGTCCGAGACCGGGGTCCTACTATGGACATCGTCCTCGGGGACCGATCGAGCACGCCACTGTACACGCTGTTGCGACGAATGCAGCTGCCGCGCCGTTTAAGGGGCGCTGCTTTGCTTGCAACAGGCCGGGCCATCGCAAGAGCGAATGCCCAGAGGAGCTAAGGCGCCGCGGAGCAGAGCAGTAGAGGGAGTCTCCAAAGCAGGGAAACGCCAGTAGTCAGTAGGAATCGTGCCAACTACTGACGAGACTACCTGCTCGCCCAACCCCACCGACCCTCACCGAGTCACAGTACCGATTCATGCTATCGATCGGACTCGGACGAATAAGGAGGGTACAGCGACGGATAGCCCAGTACTGATCCACGGGAAAATACAGGGAGCAGCAGTGAAGATTTTTATCGACGGAGGAGCAAGCCACAGTTTAGTCAATACCGCAACCGCACGAAAACTGCAGCAGACACTTAGCCGTTGCTTACCGGAGATAGACGCACGCTTAGTCGACGGCACGCCACTGGCCATACGGGAAAAGGTAAAGAGAGTCAAAATCCGCTGCGGGGGAAATTTCGGGTTTACACAGGAAATGCTCGCAACGACACTAGATGGGCACGATATTTTACTGAGACGTGATTGGCTACGACGGTATAACCCGCGAATTGACTGGACGACGGGTAGCTGCACCGTGCGAAGTAGTGGTAACTGGGTCGAGCTACCTCGCTGGCAATTGCCTGAGTCTTCAGCGGTACACGTCAACGCCATCACAATGAAACGGGCTGTCGCTGCTGGAGCTGACGTGTACGCAGTAGACTCTCAGAAGTAGTTAAAACTTAGGTACTAGGGTGTTGGGTAGAACGAGAGTTACGAGAGGAAGGGGTCGAGAGAGTTTGACAAAAGAGGATGATTCAATATTGAGCGAGGGTACAAATAGGAAAGAACAAACAAGAAAGGTGCACCACCAAACAGAAACTTCTATGACTACAGTATTCTACACTACAGGCAGTTACAAAACAATATATAGAGTTATATATTATTCTGACATAGACATCGCAGTAGTAGAGGAAGCGGAGCAGCCAAGTGATTTCAAGAAATTGTTGGCAGCCGTATCGCCCGAATTACATGAACTGTTGAAACGATACCCCGGGATTTTCCCCGACGACTTACCGGAAGGACTGCCACCTCAGCGAGCACATGACCACCGAATCGAATTAGAACCGAGGGCACAGCCAACCGTACAGCGCCAGTTCAGACTGACACAGCCCGAGCTCGACGAACTAAGGAAATAGTTAGATAACCTGTTAGAAAAAAAATCATCAGACCGAGCTCGTCATCGTTCGCCGCACAGATACTATTCACGCCGAAAAAAGACGGGGGTTTTCGCATGTGTATCAACTACAGAGCACTGAACAGGGTAACACTCAAGTCGCGGTACCCCATTCCCCGCGCCGACGAACTGATCGACCAACTGCGAACAGCACGGGTTTTTTCGAAAATAGATTTACGGGGAGGTGACCATCAGATTAGGGTCGAACCATCGGACTGCGCCAAAACAGCTTTCAGGACTAGGTACGGGTCGTTCGAGTACACTGTGATGTCATTCGGGCTGACCATCGTACCGGCGACTTTTCAGATAACCATGAACGGGGGATTCAGGCCGCTCTTAGATAAATGTGTAATAGTTAACCTCGACGACAATCTAGTGTACAGTCAGGATAAGCAGCAGCACTTAGCAGATCGGGAAGCAGTATTTAAGGTTTTAGACGAACAAAGATTACTGACCAAGGGTTCCAAGTGCGAGTTCTTCCAGGATAGGTTAGAATTTTTGGGGCACGTTATTTCGGAGGCTGGAGTTGAAATCGACCCAAAGAAGCTGGATACGGTAAAAGCGTGGCATCCCCCGACAAACATCACGGAGCTGCAGAGCTTTTTAGGGTTCGTTAATTATGTGCGTCGGTTCTTCCCCGATATGGCACGGTTAACTGCCCCACTGACGGATTTACTACGGAAGGGGGTCGCTTTTACGTGGGGGGAGAAAGAGCATGCTGCCTTCTCTGCCCTGAAAAATGTTCTCTGTTCACCGCCCGTCCT